TCCCATTATAGGGCCGGCCCCCCGGCCCGGTACGCGGAGGGGCTCCGTGGACCCCACGGGGGGGAGCTGTGGACCCCGGCTGTGCCCCCCCGGGATGGCAGCTCCCCCCTCCCACCCCTGGGAAGCACCTGGGTGGGCTCTGGGAGGAGAGGGGGTGGGAGCAGCTCCAAGTGTTGGGGGGCACCCACAGCACCCGTGGGGGGCTTCCCATGGCCGGCTGAGAACGGGCACAACTCCCTTCACGTGGGGACAACCCCCCTCCCCGACCCCACTAATCCCCAGACCGTGGCGCGGGACCCACACCCACCAGCAGAAATGGGGTAAATCCCGGGCTTTTTTTCCCTAAAGCTGAACGCCTGGCAGGGGTGCAAGGGGCGCGGGGGGCTGCGGGGGGCCGGGCAGGGCACCCCCATGGCCGGGCAGTGCCCGGTGCCAGCTGCCGGCCCGATCTGCCGGGCTGACGTCAGGGATTAGGCCGGGAGAGCCACGGGGGGACGCGGGGACATGGCCACGTCCTGCCCCGGCCCGGCCCGGGGGTCGCAGCGGTGCCCCACCCCCGAATTTGGGGGTGTTTTAATAACTCCTCCGGTTTTTAGGGTTTTTTTTTTTGGGGGTGGGAGGCGTTTCTTGCCGTTGTGCCCGTCACGGGGGGCACTCCCGGGGGGCACTCCCAGGATGCGAGCTCCGGTTCCCACCCGGGGGACAAGGACAGCCCCGAACTGGGGACACGGAGCGGGGGAGGGGGGGGGGCAGTGAGGGGGGGTCCTGACCCTGCTGCCACCTCGGGGGGGGCACCTGGGCACTGGTGGGGCCGGATCCTGCTCCCTGAGGCTCCTCCCCGGCTCCAGCACTGCCCATAAAAGCCGATGGTGAGGAATTACGCAGCCCGGAAAAATGCAGCCGGGGTTGGCACCGCCCGGCCAGGGGGGCTTGGGGGGGCAACAGCGAGAGGGGGGGAAACAGCGAGGGGGGGGAAACAGCGAGGGGGGAGCCCCCCCTCTGCAGCGGCACGGGGAGGAGGGAGGGGGTGCAAGATGCTCTTTAATGAGGGACTTAATGAGAAATCGGGGTTTCAATTAAAAAACGGCTTTGGGCTTAGGGAGTCAGGGCAGGGCAGAGCCCCCCTGTGTCCCCCCCAGCCCCGGATTAATCTGCTGTCCCGGATCCTGCACCCAGCCCAGCTTTAATCCCTCCTGAGCTCCCGGCCCCTGGAGGGGGGTGGTCCCTGCACCCCCCTTTGTGACACCCCAAATTGTCCCCCCATGTCCCCATTTCCATCCCCGGGGACACGGCCCCAAGGCAGGGGAGGAGGAGCGGGTGCTGGGTCCCCCCACCGTGGGAGGAGGAGGTGGCAGAGGCACAGGTGGCACCAGTGTCCCCACCGGGATTTTGGGAATGGTCACCAAAATAACCCCTCCTGGAGTCAGGGGGCTCCATGGGAGCCTGGGGGGGTGGAGAGGGGCTCCCATGGCCACGGAGAGCTGGGATGGGTGGGTGGAGGACACCCTGTGGACCACAGAGCACCCGGGTGGGTGGACAGGAAGGACCTCCCACGGACCATAGAGATGGGAGGGACCTCCCGGGGATCATAGAGATGGGTGGGACCTCCCATGGGCCATAGAGAACCCTGTTGGGTGGACAGAGAGGACCTCCTGGGGGTCATGGAGACATGGATCATCTATCTCATGGATCACAGAGACAGATGAGACATCCCATGGACCACAGAGAACCCTGCTGGGTGGACAGAGAGGACTTCTCATGGACCACAGAGACAGACAGAGGACCTTCTGGGGGCCATAGAGATGGGGGGGACTTCCCACGGACCACAGAGCACCCCGTCGGGTGGGCAGAGAAGACCTCCCAGACACCACAGAGCACCCACTGGGTGGGCAGACAGGACCTCCCATGGAACACAAAGACACGAGAGGACCTCCTGGGAGCCACAGAGACATGTGGGACCTCTCATGGACCACAGGGATGGATGGGACATCCCATGGACCACAGAGAGGACCTCCTGAGGGCCACAGAGAAGGGTGGGACCTCCCACGGACCACAGAGCACCCCGCTGGGTGGGCAGACAGGACCTCCCAGGGACCACAGAGACAGAGGACCATAGAGACTGGTGGGACCTGCCATGGACCACAGAGCACCAGTTGGGTGGGCAGACAGGACCTCCCACGGACCACAGAGACAGACGGGAGCTCCCACGGAGCACAGAGCGCCCGTTGGGTGGGCGGAGGGGCCCCGGCGGTGCCCGGAGCTGGGTGGCCGGCGAGGCCCTCACCCAGGCACAGGGCTCCCAGGGGAGCGCGTGTCTCACCAGCTCGTCCAGGTTCTTGAGGTCGCAGAGGGTGATGGGCCGGGCCCGGCCGGGGAAGGCGCCCGCCTGGAGGTCCCGGCTCTCCCGGCGCGTGCCCAGCGCGCCGTCGCCCATTTGGTCCCTCATCTCCTCCTCGATCTCCTCCTCCATCTGGATCAGCATGGGCGCCAGCATCCCGAACTTGGAGCCCCTCCTGGCCACCTCCAGCAGGCAGAGGACAAAGTTCTTCTCGTTCTTCTTCAGCACCAAGTCGTTGGTCTCGAACATGAGGACGTCCTGGATGCCCAGGTCCTGCCGGCACCACTGGATGAAGTTGGAGACGTTATCCCTGGCGATGAAGGAGCCGGGCACCACGTTCTTGGCCTGGAAGACCACCTCGTTCTGGGGCACCCGCATGCGGGCGGCCGCCTCCGGGTGCCGCTCCTGGAAGTCCAGGGCGGTGCGGTTGACGTTGTTGGCGTGGCGGCAGAGGTGACAGCCCGTCTCCAGGCTCTCCAGGAAGGTGTCCACCTGGATGTCCAGGTCGTAGAGGGTGTTGAACCACTCGGCCAGGTCCTCCTTCATGGCCTCCAGGTACTCCTCGCTGGAGCGGAACGGGCGGATGCTCTTGGAGGCGGCCGACTGGATGTGGCTGGAGTTGGCCATGGTGAGCTGCCTGCGGGGGGCAGCAGGGGCTGTCACGGGCAGGTGACACCCCTCAGCCCCCCCAAAAACACCCCCCACCCTGGTGCCTCCCGGAGCAGAGTTTGGCCACCTCGGTGGCCCCTCCGTGCCTCAGTTTCCCCCACCCGTGGGCAGGAAGGGTCACCGGTGTCACCACCCTGTCCAGGACCTGCCTGAACCCTGCCAGGACCCCCACCCCATGTCCCCCCATTCATTCCATGTCCCCCCACCCCGTGTCCCTCCACCCTGTGTCCCCCACTGACCCATGTCCCTGTGTCCCCACGCCGTGTCCCCACCCCATGTCCCCTCCACCTCCCCAGGGTTCAGGAGCCCCTTGTCACACACGTGTCCCCCCCACTGTGGGGCTGTGGCAGAGAGAGGACCCCCTTGCCCTCCAAAATCTGCCCAGTCATGGCAGGTGCCCCCACCCTGGGAGCAGGTGACACCGCCAGGGATGGCAGTGCCAGGGGCAGGGAGACCCCCCCAACCCCGGCGGGGGTCCAACCTTGAGTGGGTGCCCCGGGGTGGGGTGGGGGCATTGGATCCCATCCATGGGGAGGGGGCTGCACCTGGAGGAGCCCCCCCAGCCCTCCCTGACCCGGGGGGGTGTACAAGAGCTGGTGACTCCTCTGCAGGGGTGTCACCCCCTCCTGGGGGACACCAGTGACCTCCACTGCCACCCCCCTCGCCCCCAGACCCACACTCGGGGGGCTGTCATTCCCTGGCTGTCAACCCTCTGCTGCTGGAGGGGTTTCTTTGTTTTGGGGGGGTGTCCCTGTCGGGGTGTGGTCCCTTTCCCTCGGAGCAGAGGGGGATGTCCCTATTGGGAGGGGTCCCGTGCCCTCGGAGGGAGGGACACGGGGGAAGGGGGGGTCTCCTTCCCTTCCCTGGGTGGGGGTGTCCCTATTGCGGGGTGGTCCTTTTCCCTGGGGGGTGGTGTCTCTGTTGGGAAGGGTCCCTATCGGAGGGGGGGTGTCCCTGCTGGGGGGGTGGGTGTCTATACCTGGGGGGTCCCCCTTTCCCATGGTGGGGGGTGGTGTCCCTATTGGGGAGGGTCCCCTACCTTCGGAGAGGGGGTGTCGCTGTTTGGGGGGGTGTATTATCTCCACTGGGGGGGTGGTGTCCCTATTGGGAAGGGTCCCGTACCCCGGGAGGGGGGGGTGTCTATACCCGGGGGGTGTCTGTATCCGAAGGGTCCCCCTTTCCCATGGGGGGGTGGCGCCACTATTGGGGTCCCTGTGGGAGTGGGGGGGGTCTCCGCTGGGGGGGGATGTTGTCCCTTTGGAGGGGTGGTGTCCCTATTGGGGAGGGTCCCTATGGAAGAGGGGGTGTCCCCCCCCGCTGAGGGGGACAATACACCCGGGGGGTGCCTATACCCGAGGGGCCCCCTTCCCCATGGGGGGGGTGTCTATCAGGGGGTGTCTCCCTCCCGAGGTGGGGTGGGGGGTCCCCCCGTCCCCTCTCTGCGGGAGAGGGTCCCTATTGCGGGGCGATCTCCCGGCTCTGGGTGGGGGGGTCCGCACCTGCAGAGGGGACATGAGGGGGGGGACAAAGGGGACACCCACGGGCCAGATCCCCCCCGGGCCGCCCTCACCGCCCCCGGGCCGCCCTCACCGCCCCCGGGCCGCCCTCACCCCCCCGGGCCGCACTCACCGCCCCCCCGTCACCGCCGCCGCTCCGCGCTCCGCTATGGCCGGGCCGGGCCCTGGCCCCGCTCCGGGCCGGGCCGCGGCTCCCAGCGCCGGGGGGGCCCCGCCGCGGCCCCCGCCGCCATCAGCGGCCCGGGGGGGCGGCCGGGGGGGCCCGGGGGGCGCCCAACGAGGCTCGGGCTCCGCCGCAGCCCCGAGGAGCCGCCGCCGCCGCCGCCGCGCCCCGGCCGGGAAGTTGGAGGCGGCCCAGAAAGGGCCGGGACGGGGGAGGCGGCGGCGGGCGGGGACCGGCACGGGGGGGCACGGGCACGGGGGGGCTGGGACACGAGAGGGGAGCAGGGACACGAGGGGGGAGCAGGGACACGAGGGGGGAGCAGGGACACGAGGGGGGGACAGGGACACAGGGGGAGGGCACGGGCACCGAGGGGATGATGGACACGAGGGGGGCACGGGCACGTAGATGGCATGGGAATGGAGAGGGGGGCACGGGCACCGCGGGGGCACGGACATGGAGGGGGCGGCACAGACATGGAGGCGGCACAGACATGGAGATGGAGGGGGCTTGGACATGGAGAGGGGCACAGGCGGGTCATGGCCACGGCGGTGACACGCGGGAGGGTGACACGGGAGGTGACACCCAGCGACCACCCCTCCCCGCACCAGGGTGGGGCTCATCCTGGAGGGGAAACTGAGGCACAGCGAGACCCACCGGGAAGCTCCATCTCACCCTTTTATTCCACTCCTCCCACCCACCCCTTCACCCCACTCCTCCAGCCCACCCCTTTATCCCACCCTTTCCGGGGGCCGTGTCCCGCCCCCCCCCCACCTCCCAGGGATGCTCTCAAGAAAGGCCGGCAATGGTGCGGTTACAAACAGCGGGAATTTTATTTAAAAAAACAACCGTCACAACCGTTCACAGCGTTACAGGCGGAGGGGAGGGGGAGGGGGGGAAAGGGGCGCGTTAAACAACCGGTTTTATTTCGGGGAGGGGAAGAAAGAACTCGTCACGCTACCGCTGAACTTGGTTTTAATGTTTCTCCACAAACGGTGAAAAATACTAAAGTACAGACAAGGAGGACTCATAATGTTGTGGCCAACATTATAAATATGGAATTATAAATTTAAAAGATTTTTTTTTCTGGTTTAAAAAATAAATCTGGTAGTAAATGAGGCTCTGGGGGGGGCGGCGTTAGTAGGGCCGGTCTCTGCGATCCTGGCGGTGCTCGCCCCTGTGGGCACGGAGGGGGAGGGCATGGGTCAGTCCTGGGGTCCAGGAGCCCTCCCCGGGCTGGGGGGGGCTCCTCAAACCTCCACTCACTCACCCTGACACCCATTTACCCACCCCACTACCCACTTGCCCACCTACTCGGCCCCCCACCTACTTGCCCTCCTACCCACTCGCCCCCACCCCTTCACTCCCCAACCTGCTCATCCTGTCACCCATTCCTCCACCCATCCACTCACTCCCCCACCCACTTGCCCCCCACCTGCTTATCCCCCCCCCATTAACCCCCTACCCACTTGTCCTCCCACCTATTAGCCCCCTCCTCATTTGTCCCACCACCCACTAACCCCCCACCCAGCCCCTCATCACGCCCTCACGGGGGTCCCAGTGTCACCCACACCCTCTCCCCATCAGGGTCTCCCCCTCCCCATGTCCCCCCCACACTCTGCCCCCCCTCCATCCATACTTGTCCATCTTTCCCGGCCCTCCACGCCGTCCTCTGCCTCCTCCTCCCATCTGCTCCATGAGGGGTCCGGGGGGTCCCCCGGGGCCTCCTCCTCCTCCTCCTCTCCGGCCTCCTCCTCCGTAGCCTCCTCGGTCCATCCCGCGGCCTCCTCGGAACCCGCCTCTGTCTCCGCCGCGGCCGCCTCGGAACATCCCCCCGGGGCCCCCTCGGTCCATGAGGCCCCCGCCGCGCCCACCGCGCATCCCCCCGGGGCCGCCCCGGCCGCGCTCACCGCCTGGGGGGAGGAGAGACCCTCAGAGTGACCCCCGGGCAGCACATCCCGCTCCGGGTGTACCCTACCCACGATCCCGGGACAGCCAGCTCTGCCACGAGCAGTGGGAGAAGGCCCAGGAGATGCCGGGAACCCTGAGGGGATTCAGGGAGCACAGCGTCCACCCCTCACCCAGCTCCTCCTGAGCCGGGGGAGCTGCAGCTCGTTAGGGCCCTAATGAGGTGGGAGCAGCCCCCCAGGAAGGGCCCCCAGATCCCAGAGGAACTGTGATCCCAGCCTCCACGTCACGGCTCACGGAGCAGTGAAGGCCTGGCAGCTCCAGGGGCTGGCCCAGCTAACCCTCGAGGAGCCCAAGGCCAGGCCTGGGGTGTCCCACTGGGAAGTGAAACCGTGAGCCCCCCACACGTACCTGGAGGGGGGAAGGGGGGCGGGAGGAACCCCTCGGGTTTGGGCGCCTTGCACTGGTTACACTCCGTTCTCCAGGCGAAGTTCTGGTTTCCGCAGCCCCTGGGTACAAACACCAGTCAGCCTGGTGGGAGAATGCCAGGAGGCACCACGAGCAGGGTGGAGAGCAGGACCTGGGGCTCATCTCCTGGCCAGGCTCCCCCCGTGGGGTGGGGTCCAGCTGCCTGTTCACCCACAGCCCCCGCAGTGACCCCATCCCTCCCTCCCTGACCCAGGTGGGAGGAAGGAGCTTCCTGGGAAGCCCAGCAAGGGATTTTGGGAAAGGCCTCCTGGTCCTGTCAGCCCCTGGGACAAAGGGGACCCGGGGTACTCACGGGTTGGGGCACTGCCAGTCCCCGGCGCGGTGCTGGACGCTCCCTCCGGAGGGGTTTCCCCGGGACCCCCGTGGGCCTCTCGAGGAGAAGCCACCCCTGTCTCCACCTCTTCCACCCATCCTGCCCATGGGGCCGCTGGGGCCACTGGGCCCCCCTGGGCCACCAGGACCCCCCGGACCTGTGGAAGGAGCCCCGTTAGTGCCAGAGCCACGGGTGGGGTGGGGGGACAGGGAGCAGCTCCGGGGGGTCCCAGCCAGTACCTCCTCGGAGAGGGGGGGGCATTCCCCGCTGCTCCCGGGGTGGCATCCCGCCCCTCAGGCTGTTCATGGGGCCCTTCTTCCGTGCCAGGGTCACCTTCAGCTTGCTGCCCTGGAAATCCTTCCCTAGGAGGGACACAAGGACAGGACATCAGTGCACACCTGCACCCTGGTGCTTCCTACAGGGAATTCCATCCCAACCCCCCTCCCCCACTCACCATCAAACCATTCCACGGCTGTTTTGGCAGTAGATGGGTCATCGTAGGACACGGTGGCGTCACCTTTGGGCTTGCCAGTCTCTTTGTCGATGTACAGGTTTATCATGGGCTGCCCTGTCCTCTTGTTCATCTAAGGGACAGTGGGATGTCACCCGGAGTCCCCTCTCCCAGCAGGGATTTACTCCCTGTTCTGCTTTCCAGACAAGCAAGGCTCGTTCTGAGGACTCCGGGGCAGAAGAAAGGGCCCCTTGGGCCTACCATGGGTGACAGGGACGGCCCAGACACCCCAAAAATGAAGGAACGGGCCTAAAACAGCACTGCCAGGCCCAACAGGCCTCTCCCAGGGAGCTGATGGGCTGGAAGGGTGTGAGCAATGGGCAGGGAGGAGGAGGAGGAGGAGGGTGGTCCCTCCGCCCTGCCATCAGGGGTCACAGGTGTCCCCTCACCTTGACAACACCGCACTGTTTGAAGAAATCTGCCAGATCCTCCAGGGTCACATTATCGTTGAGTCCCTGCACATACACTGCAGTGCTGTCTGAGTCCTCCTCTGGCTCCATGGGGGGGCCTAGGAGACAATTCCCAGGGTCAGTGCAGGGAGAGGAAGGGCAGGGATACCCCAGGGCCGAGTTCTTTCCATCCTGTCATTCCCAGCTGCAGCTCCACTCCCAGTGAGCGACAGGAAACCCTGGACCCCGAGGGAGGTGACTGAACCCCCCCATGTCCTGCCAGACAGACCCCAGAGCCACCCCTGCGGGAAGAACCCCCCGGTTATATCAGGACACATCCCAGGGGAGGGATCAGGAAGACCTCGGTGCCCTCTGGGCTCCCACACACGGACATCCCACCTCCCTTTTCCGATGCTGGAAGCTGACACATAACTTCCAGACACGCCTGTAGGACAGGAAGGGACAACCCATAAGGCCACAGGCTGCTGTGGCACGGGAGGAGGCTCCTGCAGAATCCCTGGGAAAGCTCCAGAGCAGCCCCCAACTCAGGGTTACTGCAGAATCCCTGGGACAGCTCCAGAGCAGCCCCCAACTCAGGGTTACTGCTGAATCCCTGGAAAAGCTCCAGAGCAGCCCCAAACCCCCCTAAATTTCTGTGGAGAAGGGCGGGTGTCTCACAACCACGTGTGGTTTTCCACAGTCCAGCTGTCTGGATGAGTTGGGAATCAGGCAACGCCGGGAAGAGCCAGGAGGAGCCCGTGGGCAGCGGGGCCCCTCCTGCTGTGGGCTGACACCTGCGGCGCTCCCCAGGACACAAGCGGCCGATTCCCAAGCTCAGGAGGGGGATTTTGACAAGAATTACCTAAATCCAGGTCGGGTCCTTCCTCCATGTGTCCTGCCAGGCGGGAGAGAAGCACAGGGAGCGGTGTTAGTGCGGGCCCTGGGGCTGGAGAACCGACACACACAACACTAGCTACGGAGGGGGAACCTCCAACTGACCTGCGCCGCCCCAACAGCAGCACTGCACCTTACTGGGCCATCAGGTGGCTACTTTTAGCACTTCTTTCAAAACCAACAACCACTGTTACATTGTTGTTTTGTTTTTTTTTTTTTCTTTTTTTTTTTTTTTAGCACTTTTTCAAACCGTTAACCACTAGCACGCTGATTTTTTTTTTTTTAGCAGCTCTCAAACCATTAACCATTACGGATGATTTAAAAAAAAACCAAAAATAAATAAACTTTACGCCAAGCCAATCGTTTGTTTTTTTTTTTAAAAGTTCGCTAATATAAGTAACTTAATATAAACAGAAAAAAAAGATTTATTACATCCAAACCATTTCTTTTCCCAAAAAATTACAGGAGTTGTTGCTCAACTCTTCCACTGCGTCCTGTGACACCGCATTAACCCTAGGCATCGCCGGCAGTACCCATTACAGTCTTGTTGCATATGTCATTTTTAAACCACTTAAAACGAATAAAAAAATTACGCTTCGTTCTAAAAAACTGTCTGCAAATGCTTTTTTTTTTTTTTTTTTTTAACACTATCCATTGTAATGCTCAAAAACTTACCACCAGGCTTATTGAAGCCACCTCGCTCTCCAGCGCTGCTGGGGGGATAAACGAAGAAATGAAGGCCTTTCCCTTTACAAAGCCAGCACCGCTCTGA